CAACCTATTCGAAATTTAAATTGTTATGTCATCGCAGTATCGCGCTGTCCGTAGAACAAATGAAGACTAAAGCGGAGTGTCGCGCTCTGTATACGATTTTAGCGCCTTGCAAGTGCGGACACTTTTTAGCGCGGACCCGACGTCCATATAATTGTAAGTCAATGCTTTGTACTATGTTTGTACTGATAACAATATAAGAGACATGCACTTAAATTAAGATAGTGTTTCCCGTAAGTTTAGTTCGCGTTTCTGTGAATCGACATCGATTGTATAATTACGACTAGTACATTTCATAAGTTTACAATTTGTTATTAAACCACGACAATGTCCATTCTTTGAAATCACGTAGTTAAGAAATATTAGTAAAAAAAAAAATATTTTACATCCAGATGACACCTTATTGGTTTTTTATAAAATTCTGAAGCATTTGTATGTTCGCTGGTGGTTAGAAAAAAGTGTTATCTGTGGAAACTTGTAATTTGCCATCAAAATTATTTTTTGTAACTATTTATATACCTAGCTGTTAGTTTCCCTAAACATATAAAATTAACATTTGAGGATATGAAAAATATTAATTATTGAAAACTTCTTCCTGTATATTAAAAAAAAAATCATCATTCCACACAAAGTTGTCGAAGGTGCAAAACAAAATTTATCAATAACCATTTTTTATATGAAACATCTTTAAAATCTGACAGAAACTTACGCGTACGTGACAGGAATTTGGACCGTAAAGAAGTTAATTTTTTTCCAATAAAATAATTTTATTACCGAATATCCTTTCCTACGTGATTTCCCGTTATACTAAATGTTAATACTGATTTTCCTGCGCTATGTTAGGAAATAAAGAAAAGTTTTACAATATTATAATATACCAACGCCAAAGTGCGAGCAATTCATTTAAATATACTTCCATCATTAGTCGATGTACAACATTAACAGAATTATATTTAGTGAACCGCACAGGAGAATCGGCAATACTAATCTAAAAAACAAATAAAACAAAAAACCAAAAATCTACCGGAGAAACCCAACAGGCACAATTATAATTCTGTAAAAGAAAATAAAAACAATATTAAACAAAAAGAAAGGATATGGACAAGGAATGAACTTTTTTATATCAAGTTAATGAAGTTTCTAACTTCATTTACTTTGTAAGCCTAGAGTAAACTTCATACGAATAATAATAAAGAAATAGTACTTTATGATATTATTATTAAAATAATATTTACAGTAGTTACGTATATTACAATGTGTAAGATAGAGTCTATCGAACACTACTTCCATCCTATGATATATTTTTTAATAAAACTCAATATATCGGAATAATAAAACCTCCGCAAAAAAAAACCGTGTAATTACGCCCCCTATAACAAGAATGAATATAACTTACAATATTTACTGAAATAAATAATATAGAGGTAAGTATGCAACAGAGACATTCACAATTCAATGGCCCGAATATTGACCTTGGGCTGGAACGTTTGTGATTAGATTACTATTCCGCCAATGTCTCATTCAATATTTTTCATCACAATTGCGTGTGAATAAAACGTAATATCTTTTAAATATTTGTATGTCATTATGAGTATGTACCTTATAAAAATTACAAATTCAATCAAGTCGACATAAGCTTTTATAAATGAAATCGTCGACGTCGTTTAAACGTCGAGAGAGTAGAAACAAACAAAACACATTTACCGCCCTAGGGCCGTATGATAAAAATTACCACCTAGTTTTGCTGCACGTCACACTATGCTTACGAGCAAGTGTGATGAAATAGTACATTGCGATTGGCGTATACTTGCCAGGTGAAGCCTGAAAACCAGGAAATTGCAGAGGCCTTAACCTTTTCTTCGGCATTATCAGCTATTCTTCCATAGATAATACAACAAACTTAACTAAATTGCTATAAAAGGCACAGACGTATATGCAGCCACGACGTATTAGATTACAAAATAAATAATTTCCAAATTCTAAAAATAGTGCAGAATTTGATTTCACAAAATCAATTTAAGTACCTAGTAAAATTTATTAAAATTGCCAATGTTTAGTTTTTTCCTGTACTTATGCGAAATACATTCAGATTTTTTAAACATGAAATTTTTTTGTTTAACCTTGGCATGTAAAAAGTCCGTGGACATAATCGACTTTGCCTGCATGTCATGACACTATTTACGACCAAATGTGATGAAAAAGTTATTTTAGTATAGTTTGTTATAATTTCACGTTCTGTTTTCAGATGTAAATAATTATTTTTCGTCAAAATTGTAAGTTACTTCAAATAGTGTTATAAAGGACGATTTTACGGAGCATGCATTTTTACAGAATTCAATTTTGTATACACACTGAAACCAAACACACAACTATAATTTACGTGCAGTTTTTGTACAAAATTAAAATGCCGATTATACCAACTCTGCTAAATTATATTTTACAAAATGTTGCTGTTCTTTATACTCTTAAATACTTTTCAAAGAAAAAATTACCTTTGAATGACTAATTTAGTAGCCTATCCATGCATATCCGTTCCGCGTTCGGGCCGAGCAAGACAGTGCTGTATTCGGGCCTTGATAGAAAAGGGTTCGGGCCAAGATAGTACTGTGTTCTTTCAAGGACAAATAACAATAACCTCTGACGCTTGATAAGATTTTGTTAAATACATTTCGGTGTCATAACTAACACGGATATTTGAATAAACTCATATTCAGAGTGAACATAATTCTTTATCGTCCTTGGCGAAACACAGCACTATCAGGGTCCAAAAAATTAACTGTCACAGCCCAAACAGGACGCTGCTGTGACAACCCGAGCACAGCACGGTTGTATGGATAGATATTAAAACGTGCAACCGAATCGGTACCAACCTAACTACAAAAATCACCTGCAAGTTTAATGACGAAGTAGAAGTAGCTGCTACCACAGGAGAACATTCCTGCCGGGACGCGTACAGACTTTGCGTATCCATTGACGAAGCAGAAACGAACTGCGGCCTCGATTGTCCTTGATAAACCGCAGTGGAACTCGCAGTTTGCGATATCGACACTTGCGGCCTATACAACATCGGCTGCGCGCCTTGTACTATATTATGGGTCACAATTTGCTGCGGCATATATGACATAGGAGGAATGACTCCAGTAGGTTGGATTACTGGCGAACCAACGTAAACTTGTGACGTAGACATGGGAGAGCCTGAGTAACCCTGTGATGTTGACATAGACGGATAAGCCTGCGATAAAGGACTAGCTGAACGGTATTGACTAGACAATTGCTTTGGTATCGGTTTGCCAGAACTTTGGGCATAAGGTATACCTTGTACGACACCTACCGGTACGCCGTAAGACATAGGATGTGATACCGACATTCCGGAGGTCACAGGACGGTATGACTGAGGTTTTGAAAGACCAGCTTTTTGGGCAGCTATAGCAGCGCAACTTTTGACATTGTCGCCACCGAAATCATAGATCTCTTCAACTAAAGGAGGATCGGGTTGTAGACGCATCTTGTTGACAACACTCGCCGCTAACTGGGCGTTAATAGTGCCTTGCACTGAGAATTGACCGACGTCCTGATCGCGACGGTTACGAGGCGGTGGCGAAGCCGGAACGGAATGCTGCCTTGTAAAAGGAGCTATAGGGACAGGGGAACCGCGGTGAGATATACCACCTCTAGCATTGCGTTCCAAAGAACCCATACGTACAGGAACTCTTTCTGCAGTAGACAACGTACTACGTGTGCTTCTTTCCAAAGATCGAACTCTACTAGCGTAGGGCTCAGTTGGATTCAATTGTTCAGGTTCACCGTGACTTTGTGGAGACGAACTTTCCGTTCTCGGAGATGCACTGGGCATATTCTGACAAAGGTTATCGTGACTATCTCGCGCGCCTACAACAACTGTCAAAGTTTCTTGTTGTTCAGCAGAATCTGTTGGCACAACAGGGTCGAGCTTATGCAAGCTTGAAACAGGGATAGGAACAGTTTGCAAGGGAATATCGATTTTTTCATCTGGTTTCGGGTGTATGATCTTTTCGACGATGTTAGGGTCTTTCTCCGGGAGATTTTCGGCGAAGTCAACGGCAACCGTGTTGAACACCGAGGCGGGAGTCGTGTAAGCCTGGGGTTCCAGCGCTCTTGCCTGGTTTTCCCTTAGCAGGTGAGCTAGGACCAGTGGATTTTGAGCTACGATGTACGTTTGAGGAGCTCCCGCCCCTCCTGCTCCTGGCACTCCCGGTACTACTGTTGTAACGTCGCCAGCTGTTGGCAAAAATAATTATTTATGAAATATATATACGAACACACGTAAGAAATCATGGGATAAGTCTCGATTTAATTAAAAACTGCCCTGCAGGACTCTATTAGCTTTAAAATGACTAACCGAGGTTAGCGTTCGGTCTGGTAGGCTTCGGCGGAGGCTCGTCGCCCCACGAGGCAGCTGCAACGCGCCGATTCTCGCGACGCATCGTATCCCATGCTGTATTGCGCTCTTCTTGCAGGATCTCACTGGAAAAGGAGTTGGTCATATACTTCTAGTCAGAAAAGGCCATTAATAGATTAGCGGAAATCCGTGTTAATAAAATGAAAATAAAAATCGTTCTTCGGCCGAGCGTCAAACAATCAACAACTCCTGAGGAAGCTTTGTAAAGAGGTGAAACACTTGTCGGGTGATTTTGGTGGTGGTGTTTGTGACTGTACTTGCGTTTGTGTTATTAATTTTATGCGAAGGGAGGTTGGGAAAAAAAATTAAAACAAGCACAGCTTTTTGCACAATTCCACATTTTTGTAAACATTTGCACGATTTCACCTTGTCTGGGTTTGCGGCGTAGCAAAGTAATTTTTTCCACTTTTATTAAAGGCCATTCTGGTCCATCGAAAGCGTTTCTGAACCTTCCTTCTTTTCTTTACAAATTTTTACCACACAGTTAATATTCACAGTGTATAAATTTCCGCATTTGCTCGAGACTTGCAAGAGGTTTCATTTTCCGTTGAACAACACACGCTCACACATTTTATAGGCTTTAATATGAATGTCAAGCGAAACTTACAACAAAGTCTCCTTCAGCTGATGCGCAGTAGGCCTCTGCGAAGGTTCATACGCCCAACATCGCGACATAACGGAGTACAACCTTGGCGGGCAGCGCGGAGGCAACGCCAGCCGCTCTCCGTTCTCCAGCTTGCCTATGACGTCATTGTTCTTCACGCCGCTGAAAGGCTTTACGCCCAGCATTAAGATCTCCCACATGCATACGCCTAAGGGAAAAAATATTGAGAATTCTCTGTACTACTCGTATGACTATTGAAGTAAAACAATTTACGAAAAAAACAATTGTATGCAATTACAAAATTCTGGATTTTGTAATTGTATCAATATAAAAATCAACTGAAAACGACTGCATGCAGTTGACACTGACTTAAAGTAGTTATCGCCATGCGCCTATTTCAGGTGCTCAGTGTATTTATTGATATCGAATTGGAAGACATTACATGTAGTTTATCACTGTGTTCATCTGAACATCATTATCTAATGACTCCAAACGCTAATTTTACTTTTTATTAAGGACGTCTCGATTGCATGCAATTGATCACGACTGCACATATTAACTGCAAACGTGAAGTCCATCTGTTTGCAGCCTTAAACTATTGTATGGCAAATCGTGCAGAGCCCCTAGTGGCGACAAGACGAACTAAAATTTGTCATGCAATTATAAATACGCGGTCGCTGCCGGCTATCAAAATTAATCGTATGTATTTGATTACGTAGTTCATTTTATAGACAGAAGCACTAGCGTGTCGTAGAACTTTTAGTTGCAGTAGAGCACCTTGTGAAAGTTCGTCTAGGGAAGTACTGCCATCTTACCTATTTCTGCCGCCAAGCAGTAATATGACGGTTTCGAAGGGCAAGGGTGCTGGTGAAATTACAGGCACATGGGATTTTTCAACTTATGGCTCAGGGTGTCGGGCTTAGTGGCAGTGCCCCTCAGACCTTTGTGGTTTAAAGCTCTGAGTGGCACTGCAACTATAATGGACAGGCGTGTCGCTTACCAACAGGTACACGGCTTATTCGTCCCGTCACTAAGTATTATTAAAAAAAACTTACCAAACATCCAAACGTCAGAAGCCGATGTGAATCTCCTAAAGTTGATGGACTCGGGAGCCATCCACTTGATGGGCAGTTTGCCTCGTGACGCTTTGTAATACGACTTGTCTTCCACCATCTTTGACAGACCGAAATCTGCTAGCTGCAAAGGGAAGGTAGGTGTTAAATGTAGGAATAAAAGTTTGCCAGCAAAGGGCTGCCTTTGTGGCAATTTTGCTTTGATTTTCGTTTCCTTTGCATTTGAATTTACAGTTCCCTCTACAATCATTTGATTCAATCAATCAAAAAATCTAATCAATTCCTTCAGCTTCCTGTCCGTCATTAATGTACCCGCGCCAGCTGCAGTTTTTTTACTAACAATAAGTTGTGCTCGCTATTCCCAAACAATGTATCAAAAATATTTAAAACCTGTGGCAGTTTGGTTTCGACCGGTGTACCAAACCTTTTCAGAGCGCCATACAGCAGACGACAGCAGATCAGAAAACTAAGGTATTTTTTTGATGAGTTAAGTTCATTTTAACTTTTAAGATACCATTTGCAACTTACTTGTTTGTGATCTGTACAATGGAATTTAATATTCAACAAAAATTAAAGCAAGACGTTTAAAAATGGTTTTTCTACGTACTTTGACACAGTTAGGATTGGAGACTAGAACATTTCTGGCGGCAATGTCTCTGTGAACGAATTTCTTGCTTTCCAAGTAACTGAGCGCCGTTGACAACTGGTAAATGTAAAGTACTAGAGTACATGTTTCCAGCCTGCAAATACATATACGTTCACGTTAGTTGATAGCAAAAAGTATACGTAATATTCTAAAAACGAACGAAACAAAAAAAACAACGCTACGAGTGACATTATGTAGTTATTATGTAAAATAAAAAGAACAGGACCCATAAAGTTACCCTGTGGGACACCAAAACATGTCGATTTCAAATTCTCGTTCTCAAATGCACCAAAATTTTACAATTCTTGACATACCGATTTCCTTTTCACACCATTGTCATTCAGACAACTTGCAAAACATTCCAACGTCACTTCATGAGATTCCTACACTTTCATTTTCCCCATCATAACCGAATAGGAACAGTATCGAATGCCTTTGCTAATGTTCTACGTACCTATGAGCATTCTGTTGGAGATACGCCCTCATTTCTCCTAACGTTGCGAGCTCCATCACGATCCAGATGGGAGGCGTACTGCACACGCCTACTAATCCAATTATGTGCGGGTGCGAGAATTGTTGCATTATATCTGCAATCATCATTCAGATCTTGATTTACGAAAGAAGTTCTAACGTATTAAATATAATATATGTTACATTAAACGATACAGTACCCCTACCATGAGCTCACACAAATAACGTAAAACAATTAACAATTTTGTATGACAAACATATGTAAGAGGCACAATAAGTAACATTTTGAATACAAATATTTAGTGCTATCGATAACTGTCACTGTAGACTCATGGTAGAAGCACTGGTGGATACGAAAAATATATCAAGCTAAAGCTGAATATAGAATTGTATTTACAATACCTAATGGTCGTGGTTGGTCCGTTGCCCACTAAATAACATCATTATTGTATAGGATTAAAAATTCGTAAGGTTCGACAAAAAGGGTTTAAATTTATGGAAATGTTTCAACACAAACACCAGAAAAATAATAAACCCTTTATTTTAAACGAATCGTTCATGTTATTTGAATGAACTTCAACTACAACCGTAAAAATTATACGTGGAAATATTATTAAATGAAAGCAATCGATCATCTCGAACGTGTTCAAGAGTTCATACTACGATCAATAAAGACAGCGACAATATTATTAAACACCTAATATGCAATACGTGTCTGTGCAAGATCTAAATAAGATACTTACAAGCCTCCTCAAGGAACTTCTCAGCGGTATCAAGGTCGGCATCCAACTTGCAAGTCTTGACAGCGACGAGGAGTACATACTCTCCTGGACCACTGCCCTTCCCCGCCCGCTTCTGCGCAGATAGTTGCCGCCGGAGAGACGGGTGGTTTGCTGACGTCACGCGGCATGTACCTAGCCAAAGTTAGCAACATGTTTTAAATTCGTCTAGATAGCTAATGCAGACGGACTATAATAGTAAAAGAAAGATTGAAGCATACCGTGACAGAGTGAGAAAATAGATTTCTCGCAGATGGCCCTACGGCAAAAAAAGTCATTAAAAAAACAAAAACGAAAATCTGCAACAAGCACATAGAAAAATACGTAAAGACTGCTGGTCCGTTCCGTAGCTCAGTTGGGAGAGCGTCAGGTACGGTATGCTGTAAGCGTTGGTTCGAATTCAGTCGGTTAGAAGGTTTTTTCTTAGTGTACAATGTATATTTAAATAAAAATGTATTTGTTCAAAAATCTTTACCTTTGTGTACATCACCAAATTGTCCTTCTCCGATAATGCTCGTTAGCTCAATTTGGTTTCGGACCAATTCGTAATCGCGTACTGAAAATGAGAAAAACTTACATTATAATTATATCGTGCGGTGGCAGCTCAGTGGAAGAGCTGTTGATTCCCAAATTAGAGGTCACTGATTTAAATCTCGGCATGTAATCACATACATCACCTTTCGCATAAATATTGCACTAAGACAGTATTAATGTTTATTTTCACAACTTTACGTCGAGAAATGATTTTGCGTAATTTTCTAAATATAGTTTTTACAGTTAGTATTTTCTAAATTTTAGTTTTTTTTTATATTGCTCATGTTGTTTTGAGCTACGTTATCGACTTCACCCATTAACTGTATGCAGTCGATCTCGGCTGCATGAATTCGGTTTCGGCTGCATAAAGTTAATGCGTGAAGTCGTTATCCAAGACCTCGACTGCATGAAGCTGGTAACAACTTCGAGTTGATAACAATCGAAACTAACTTCATGCAGCCGAGATCGACAGCATGCAAAGTTGATTGCGACTTCACGCATTAGCAGCCTAAGAAAAATAATAATAATAATAATTATCAGCATAAGAAAAATAATAATAATAATAGTATAAAGTTGTATAAATACCGGCAGGTGTAGAATAGTCGGCATCGTCATCAATAATCTCGGCGTAATCTTCAGAAAGGAGGGTGTTGGTATTACCCTCCCACGAACTCTTCCCCTCTGAAGAGCTGCTGCTCATCTCCGCTGAAATATGTAGTAAATATAATTTAGTGGAGCTCCTTGTGAAAGAGTTCGTCCAGGGTAGTACTGCCACCTTACCTATTTCTGCTGCCAAGCAATAATATCAGCATTATTGCATTCCGGATTTCAAGTGTAAGGGTGCTGGTGAAATTACAGGCACGTGGGACTTGTCAACTTATGTCTCAGGTTGACGGGCTCAGTGGCAGTGCCCTTCAGATCTTTGTGATTTAAAGCTCTGAGTGGCACTGCAACTGTAATGAACAGGCGTGTAGCTTACCATCGGGCGCACGACTAGTTCGTCCCTTCACTTTATATTATAAAAAATAAATAAATAATAATACATAATGCAAGCACAAAGGAGTTAGAAACACATAAATGGCCCTGCGTTTATTCTGTGTGTCTTGTTTTGGCGTACTTTTTTTAACTTATTCAATTTCAAAAAAGCACAAAAGTTACTCTCCTTTACATCGCTAGGCAAAAAACTTAGTGTCTAAGCACCTACCGTTGAGCTAACAGATTCGGTGCTCAAATTGACTAATTATAGAGTTTAAGTATTACAATAAATAAGTACTATTCGAAAGTGACACTACAAACCTAGATAGTATCTCTTTAGAACTGTTTTACATTTCCTGACTTTACCTTCGATATCATTTAGCACTGTGCCTGGTAATTTTTTTCACACTTCTAAATTCTCCCTACACACACACGCACACGCACACGCACACTCAACACGCGCACGCGCACAACTCGACCGTATTTTTTTTGGTGTGTGTATGTTACTCGGTTACTCCGGCATTTGTGAAGCGATTTTGGTGATTCTTTTTTTGTTGCAAAGAGGGTACCTCATTATTGATTCCATTTAAATTTGAACAAAATATTCCACCTTCAAGAGTGGCATACTAGAGGATGCGCCCAGTTTCGCGCACTTTCCATTAACCGATTTCAATAAAACTTGGCAATAGACGTAATTCCACGAACTCTTGAGGTTGGTTTTTATTTATAAAAAGTTCTAATTGTATTGTACTAATCATAGTGCGTTATACAAAAATACTAACATTACTATGGATCATGGTCTGTAATAAATCATTGTACTCGTATTCAATTGAAGAATTCTATTCCATTTGATTTTCGCGATTGTTATACATTTTCTATTCCTCATATAAATGTTTAAAAATGATATATAGACCGCAGCTACCCCCGAGAGTATATCCTTTTTTTATAAATAACTCAAAAGTCAGACAAAATATTGGAACAAACGAAAACCTTGCGTGCGTAAGAAAGCGTGGTAGTAAAAAAATGGAGCGTTAATTAGTCACAACGTATAGCTCTCACAGAATGTAATATAAACTTACTTTTGCATTGACAATTGAGCTGCTTCCATACGGTAGCTTGTAAATAGAAAATAGAGATAAGTTCAAAGAAAAGAAAAATTAAAGAAATAGAAAGATATGTGTTCTTAGTTAGGCCAATAAATCAAGAGGACTGCGAATCTTCATATTACAGATCGTAACTGAAAGGTCAAAACTCCGTCTTGTATCTAGATGACGCTGATCAATAGTCTGAAAGTCGTTTATGTTATGTAGATCACCGTGGATATCAATTAATTATTATTTAATATGAAGTATAAGAAGTCAGTTTTATTCAAATATTGACCATGAGCTAGAATTAGTTTTCTGAACTTTGACGAATGGGTGTCAAAAGATGGCATAGTGTGTTAAAAGTAATGCTTCCTAATATGGGTAGATGGAGCTACTCCTGAACAAAATAAAAGAATAACCGACAATATCCACAAAAATTTGTGCAATAAGCGCCATTATTTGTTTGTTATCACCATAAATTAAAGTAGCTTTGATAAATTGCAACATATCAATCATTGACCTTTTGTCAATGTAATTAAACAAAAAAATTATAAATTAACACTATTTATTGATAAAAATTAATTATGTCACTCTTTAATGATAAGCATTAAGTTTATGTATTTTTATTATACTCAATAAAACAACATCCTTTCTCCTGTATGTTTTCAAATACCGGTCCGTTCTGTTTTCCTAACTTTGACATTGGCTAAATGCCCTACGCATAGCCATAATACAAAAAACATTACCAAATAGCTATTATGTACTCGTCGCGACATCTGGTGTACCAATAGGTACTAAATACCCGACTAACTAGGCTTCTAGATTTATTGGTCCAGGGTTAGGCACATTATTTGATCCGCCGAACATTTACCATTTCAAAACAACATGTTAGTATTGACTTACTCATCCTATTCCATAACGATGTTTGCGAATCTGTGACCAGCCGACAATACCCATCCACTAAGTCAGCCAAGCTCTCTGCAGCCTGAAAACAATGCATTAAAAATTGTATTGTATAACAACCGAGGCTATCAGCGCAAAACACGACGGCAGCAAATCAATCTACACATTGACGATTTGTTCCATTGCACTGGAGGCGTTAAATAAATGGTTGAACGGAGTATAGTTAACTGTATATAATTGTTTTATACTTGGATGCTATTTCATGTATAAAAGAAAAATTAGTAATTAAATATTATTTACATATACATATATATATATAGGTCATGTACGATTGCCATATTATAAGAAATTAATTTCTAATAATATTATTTCTTCTACATATTTTATGGGGTTACACCAGTTTTGCACTGACAGCTTTAACTATGGTCGTATTACTTTTTAATTGCCACTATGTACTGGTAGCCCACGGCTAGAGTGGTTACACACGGCAACTTAGGAAAGTACTTTAAATATTGTTGACAGGGTATTTTTTGTAGATGTAGTAGATAGGGAACACTGAGTCAGAAAGACAGGATGTCATTGTCACCGAAATTTTTCGATTTATGTTGTAAGCCTGCAGCATGTACTTCAGTGTGTGTCACGAGGGTCATTCTGCCTCCAGTTGACTAGTGGAATACCTGCTAAACACCCGTGTAGAGGCTACCTACGTGACATTGGCAGAATTGTGAAAGACACAGAACAAGCCACTAATAAATAAGAAGAAGAGGAAGAAGACCTGCTAAACAGCAGATATTGATGTCCCAAATTTGATAATCAAGCGCTTCATATTATCCTTTTAAATGCGCTCTACCAGGGAATTGAACATTTAAACGTAATACATTGTGATCAAAAGTGAACTCACATTTTTTTTTAAATGTTGGTACATGTGCCCTGTGCTCTAGTAAGGAAAGGGTTATATAAAAAGGCATACCTCTACACTGCTACAAGTAATTGTTAATGTTTCAGTTGCGCCTTTCACGCGTAGCTGCAGCGCGGCTTTTCCGCACGAGCCTGTCTGTAAAAATAAATTACGTTTTTACTTTTAATCTTTAAACAAGCACAAACAATGACATAAAAATACAACAAGAGAAGGGTTTTAACCGATTTCAAAAAGGGGGAGGTGCTCAATTCGTCTTTTTTTTAATGTATGTTACGCGATAACTCCGTTTGCAAACCGATTTCGATGATTCTTTTTTTTTGTTGAGAAAAGGGTACCTCAGTATTGATCCTATTTAAATTTGAAGAAAATATTCCAGCTTCATGAGTGGTAAGCTAGAGGATGAATTTGGTTTCGCGCACTTTCCGTTAACCGATTTGAATAAAACTTTTGAGGTTGGTTTTTTTATAAAAAAGTTATTGTATTTTTTGTATTGTAAAGTTGTAGTGTAGTTGAATTGTACTAACCATAGTACGTAAGAAAAATTTACTGTATTACTAACATTACTATAAATCATGGTCCCATTTAAATTTGAAAAAAAATTTCCACATCTAAGGGTGGCAAACTAGGGGATGAATGACTTTTGATGTCGGTTTTTAGTACTCTGTACTGATTTTTGTAGTTACAGTTTTTACACGAATTAATTTTTAATTTAAGTATATTACGTTTTGCGTTTCTTAATTATTTGTTATCTCTTTAAGCTGACGGCTCAATGAGTAAATAATAATACATAAAAAAATGACATTTTATATTGCACAAGGCCAAGTGCACGTCAAGCTTGACACTAGAGATTGAAATTCAATAATGTTGCAGATGAGAAGAGAGGAAAGGACAGAGCTCGACCGCCGCCGACCGAATAGTATAAAAGGCAGCGGGAACAAGTGGACGCTCTCTTTAATGGGTTAAAAGCCTTCAGCTCGCCCTTTTATTAAGCCAAGTGCAAATGACCTTAAAAAAATGAACTCGATTCATCGCTGCGTAAATACGTTATTTTCATATATTTTTATAAATTTTTTTTCGTTATAAAATTAAAATCGGATTCGTGTTACGTTGTTTTTCAAAATAATAATATAGTTTGTTTCCTTCACACACAACTCTATAACAATACTATATAACATTATGTTGTAAACCAAAACATTTATTGTCTGTAAAAGTTGGAACCTAAACTAGGATACCCTATGCTATTATAGATCTCTATTGAAAAAAATAACTTTCCATCAAATTTCCAAGAATAATTATACATATATATGAAAGAATGGTCCAAAGTGTCAAGCTTGATATACTCTTGACTGTTATCGTTATTATCGTTATATTAATATCTTATAAAAGGACAAAAAAGTAAATTGCTTTTTCATCCCAAGGCAATAGGTATATTGCGATCACTTTCTGGGTGAATTTTACACTAAGAGTGTGCACCATCATGACGTCCTCGTCACTCATAGACGAGTGTATATTCTCGCTTTACATGACGTACGTTTGTTTCCAGTTCTAAATACTCACTTGCGATTGAGACGGCTGTGTGCAGTTCGATTTGAGCGTCTGAATGGCGACGATGTCACCGAACGACGCGATTTTCGTGTATGTCGGCGGCTCACCCGCCTTGTGCGACACGTAGGATATGTCTGAGAAAAAAACAGCGCCATTTTGTTATATTCTGAAAGCAAAAAAATGGCGGGATTTTGTGATTACGATTTTTACCCAAATTAATGTTTAGATTTAATTAGTCTGTACGTTACAAAAATATATAACGTCGGGGATAGGACAATTACGTGTAACTAGTCTCCATTTCGGTAATTTAGTCGCCAAATCTATTCCGCGTAAATGTCGTGGCAACCAAATTAGCGTGATTTACGGGAATCTATTGTTATCACTCCGTAGACAACGTAAATTAATGCGTACTGTGCAAAAATGAAAGTAGCCATTGAAATAACAAAATAATAACGTCAAATCCCTCTCCCGTGAAATTTAGTGCAGATACGTGCTTTTTACCAATACAAATTTTTTTTGGATTTGCACTATCCCCAACGAAAGTATTATTACGTTTTGAGTTATTTAATTATTTGTTAGGTACCTGTATAAGCTGATGGTTCTATAGCTAGTGCTTGATAAATATATAATGCGCTGTTTTCTTCAATACAAAAAAAAAACAATGACTTGAGTAAAAGAAAGAAAGAAAGAAAGAAAGTATGAGCCGATGTTCAGTCATATTAGAGGAGCGAAAAGGGGAGACTGAAAGAAAAGGAGGCATTACGGTATGGAATCAAGTTAATAAAAAAAAGTACGTAAAGATTCCTGCATTTACGTGCGCGAATAGGACTGCTGTTATAAAGTGTGAAGACAAAGAGCAATACGAACGTGACATTAATAAAAACTATAAGTGACATCATAGGATGGATGAATGGAAATAGTCTCATAATAGACCTAACAAAAACTAACATCATGCAATTTCACTCGTCTAAAAGACTACCGATAGAGTTAAACATCTCGTTTAATCTTGTTAATATAGAACAAGTTAAACACACAAAATATTTGGGCCTTATCCTTGACAGCAATTGCAACTGGAAAGTCCATGTTGAGAACTTGTGTAACAAATTGTCACGGTTTATGTACCCTTTGACAAAATTAGTACAGAATGCCTCTGTGGATGCGGCCTTAACAGCTTATTTTGGTTATGTGCAGTCGGTTATAAATTGCGGTATAAATTTTTGGGAAACTCGGTAGATTTTATGCAGGTATTTAAGATATAAAAACGCTGTGTACGTATAATTTGCGGTGGGTCTCAAATGGATTCGTGTAATCCATTTTTCGACTAGTGCAACATCCTACCTGTACCCTACCTGTACATTAAGGAGGTTGCTGCATTTGTCCAGAAATAGCCATCATATTTTGAAATCGCAGATAAAAGCAACCATAGAAATTTAAGACATGGGCATAGAATGGTTTACTAGGGCAATCATATCATATTATAGTTGATGTTCTGACAAACTTTGAACATTCAAATCAGCAGGCGAACGACCGAAAACCAGGCTGCAAGATAATGCTTCAACGGCACTTTACACCGACGAGACACTTAGATTTTAGAAACCTTTTTTGTAATAGTGTGTGTTAATTTAAATTTGTATATATCGTCTGTTTAAAGCCACATAAGTATAGAAGCATAACACTTTCTACAAAAAGTCTTTATAGAGCTATGGTAAGAAAATCATTATATTTCTGCAGGTGAAACCCAATAACAAAAAGGCTATAAACTCAATAAGTGGTTTAATTTGAAGAAATATGGTGATTTTCTTACAACAGGTACATAATTTGGAGATTTTTTGTGGATTTGTGGAATGTCACTTAAGTGGTTGTACCTTTAAGGAGACGATATAGCAATTAATTTATTATTAAAATTAGTCTTTCAACAGCAGTCGAGTTTAATTTATCTCCTGCTAGCATCATCTCACTGTGGCCAAGACACCTTTAGCCACCAGTAGATCGGTCTTGTGAGTCTGTGAGACCGGCAGTGAGAATATCCATCCCAGTACACCCTTATTTCCTTCCCCCGACCGTCTGTTGCCTTAGGTCTCACGGCGCAGATATCCTGCACTTATTTATATAGCACAATAACATGGTTAGGGCTAAAGCCTGTTAGGGTACTTAGAGTGATAGGCACACACCTAAGGGCGCTAGGGTTCTTCTTGCCCTACATTATTAAGTTTATTCCTGTACACTTTGTTGACGACCACAGACATACAGACATGCACTAGTCGACAGACTGTACAATTATTTATATAGTTATTTATGTTATAGTTAACAAAATTCGTTAATTTCATTATGAATTTAAAACAAGTAATTAATTAATATTTTGGTGGTTTTAACCACTCCATGTCACTCCTTGTATTTATATATTTGGAACAACTTATTCCGACCGTTGGTTATTATGACACGAAGATAGTACATACCAATATCAGGTCCTATAGCGAGTTCTACTGGGATCGCCCATCCCATACCCAGAGCGCCAGTGAACGACTCTCTGTCGTAGCCGTAGTGCGTATGCATTGTTTCGAGGTACTTCAACATGCAGTCTGTATCGCTTAGGTTTGCCACCTGTAAAAAATACAGATTAATATATAGTTATAAACACAAAACTCCTAGCAACACCAAAATTTTAAATTTTAGGTTAAATGTATAAAAAAGAATTATACGGACAGCCATTAAATTTTAACTTAATTTTAAGTTATTACTTGGTGTACACTCCGCATATTAACTTGGTGCAGCAAGCGAACAGTTTTTGTGGAGAAATAAATGCCTTTAAATTTTTTAATTTTGAGTATTTTATAAAAAATATATATATACTCGAGTAGCTCAAATGGTAAGAGTGGTAGCCCCGGTTTGGCAAATAGATCCTGGTTCTGCCGTCCGCTAACTAAAACGCGCCTAAGTGACAAAACAATTTTTTGGGATATCATAAAAAAACCATTACCCAGTTTCAGAATAATGAAATTGTTAGATGATATTTCAGCTATGCTTCGTTAGGGTAAGTTTCGATAAGTCAAAACACATTAACTGTTTTTAAAAGAGAATTGTGTGATCTATTTTTTGCTATATAAAACGGTTATTTGACCATTTGTCACTTAGACGGCGGGGTTTTTCCTTATTTTATTTTTTTTTCCATCCTCTAAGGTTTTTTCTTTGTAAATGTTTGAAGTTTGTGTCAATAATAATAGACACGAAAGTTTTCAAATATAGAATACAATGATGTTTACTTAATTGCATTACACTAATATAATAAAACGACGATTCATATAAATATCGATACCTCCAATGAACACTTTTCATTTAGTTTTTTAGTTTCTATTTTTTTTACAAAATTAGTTTTTTCTTTTTTTTCGCATTTGATTTTTATTTTATTTTTACACAAAATTCGGGGAGTATAATATTAATAAATAAAATAAGGTGTGGAACAATGGTGGAACAGCTGATTTATTGTGATTTGAAAGGACGTAACGTAAAAATTTTTCATTTTGCTGAGTAAAATTATGGCGTATTTACACCAAGTCGGCAGGCGACCTTGGCTTGCCAGTTGGCTATCCGGTGATAAGAGTGAGTCGTCTGACGACGGTAGTTTGCAGCCGAAGTCGACCGAAGCGACTGGGTGCGTCGCCTTGGACAAGGCAAAGTAGTCTACCAAAGGCGGCAGTACAAAACGATCCAGTAGTTTCAGGAAAACTGCTATATATATAAACAAACATAGATTATATTTCAAACTTAACCGTTACCTTTTTAAACTGCTGCTGTATGGCCTTCTTCAGAACCTTGGGCTTGATGCCTTCCAGTACGGATTTGGGTAGGAACTTGTGCAGACCGAACTCTTTCTCCAGGTACTCAATATTTGACTTCTTGTCCAATGATATCTGCATGTCCTTGCAGAAGTACCTTTAAAAACAACACAAAAAAAACTTATATATCACAAATTCTTGATTCGTTTGTGTCAGACGATTTTGACGACTTCCATGGTCGAATCGCACATTTTTCATGGTATCGTCATGTCTGAGGCCCCTGGTTCGATCCCAGAGCGGGTCAATGTAAAAAAAAAAGAAATTTTTCTATATTGTCTCTGGTCTGGGTGTTTGTGATATCTCATTGTTTCCAATTACCATAACATAACACAAGTCCTGTAGTCACTTACTTTGGGATCAGAGCAATGTATGTGATGCTGTTGTCTAATATTCATATTTATTTACCAGACGCGTAAATGTAAAAGCGTAAAGGTATAAAGCAATGAGCGATTCTTTTTAATGCTGACTTAAATATACCATAGTCCGGTCGATATATTTTAATATCGATTCTCGATTTCAATGATTGTGTCCCATCACTAGATCAAGTTTGACATGCGTCATTGCAATCAAGCTATTTTTTTTTAAAGATTTTTGGCTTGATACAAGTTGCGCTAGGTCTAAAATTTTATGAGTTTAGTGATGTTATGAGATAATAACGCAAGAAACTTACTTAATTTCTAAACAGCATATGTAAACGGCGAGATCTTGATCTACTAATGGATGGTTGGCATTGAGGTAGTCGTGACGAACCTGAAACATCAGACCAGTGGGTTAATTGCGTGGCAGCGATTTAATTATAAAGTATATCAAGTTATAAGTTATAATCACAGGTCACATATAATATGTATTTATTACAGTTGCAACGACTATTCGGTTATTTTTCTGTATTCGATGCCGAATATTGAATCCCTATTCGGCCACTTACCGTTTCCGTACACAGTACCTACACTTGACGTTGTTAGTTTAATTCAATTTTTTATTCGTTTTCATTAATAATCTTCATTTGTATATGTACACTATTGTGTACTATGAATTATTATTATTTCTCATTATTTTGTAAACTGATGCTCACTTTTCGAAGAGTAGTATAAAATGACATGTAATTGTGTTTATATGAAATTTGTAATGTTAAGAGAAATAAACTAAATTACCTAAACACAAGAGAAAGAAAATAGACAGTAAATTATCATGTAATAAGTATTGTAAGTTCCAGAAAGCGTAATTTTTCGCTTTTATTTAAATTTATTTAAAACGTCAAATGAAATGTAATATAATTATGTTATTTTTCTAAGAATTCAAAATATTTAAGTAATCAAATGAAAACTAATCACGAATTAACTGTGTTTTATTATTAGTGTTTTATTATTTGAAACCTCCAAAGAACAAAAAATGGTAAAAACCGTTGGCATAAGCCCATTACTCACAACCACGAAAATATCTTTAGGCGTCATTTTCTCGAAACTATGGTCATGTTGGGTGACATGTTACCTGTAATTATTATATAATAACAGGTGTCGCATGTCGGGACGAACAATTCGTGCGCCTGGTGGTAAGCGACGCGTCTACCCATAACAGTTGCAGTGCTACTCATAGTTTTACGTCGAAAAGATCTGAGTGGCACTACCACTGCACCCGTCACCCTGAGCATTTATTTATTTATCTTAAAGGAAGACTAACAGTTCAAAAGTAACTTATATAATAATAGTAACAACTGAGAGCCTATTACAGATCCTTACTAATAGAAATACATTAAACATAACTTATTACGTAAAACATAAAAATACAACCGCAATTGCAAGCCTCACTATGAGTCAAAGAAATGCCCATTCAGTGCTCTCCTCGCCGAAATCGCACTGGTATTGAAAAGACCCAGATCAAAAGAAGTATACAATGTTAAAACTATTGCTTGTACGCCACATAAACTCATTTTATCTAAAATTAGTACGGACCGAGGTAGAACGAAAAGTAAATTGTTTCTCAAAGATTTAGAGCGAACTCTTAAGTGATATTTGTGATAATAATGTCTCCTAAGACACAGACATTTGTTTTTATTTAGCCAGAGTCCTTAGATTTGTTACGCCTTTTCTACATATTTGTTTTATTTTATTTTGTTTACTTTTCTTACAAATTTCTTCTCTGTGCTATATATAAGGCTAAGGTGTGTTTTTTGAATAAAGATATTATTATTATATATATTTTAGACTCTCGCTTCTCCCAAGCCTTAAAAGATAATTTTGAAAAATGAGCCTGATGCCATTTTTATTAAAGATTTGGTCACTAATATCACGCATATCAAATGGTAACATAAAGCTGGCAAGACTCGACGCCTACCCTTCAAAACTGAATGGTCACGTTGCTGACGGCAGGAATAGGTATGGTGGCAGTACTTCTTTGAACGAACTCTTGCAAAAGAAGCTCCTTTTGAAAGAGAAGATTTCTATTAATATACAGATTATTTCATTTATTTCGTTCTTTAGCCTTTAAGAGTATATACTACCTCAAATGACATTGGTTGTATCCGCATAACAGTGAAATTGTTGAATCAATCGCTTTGAAAAAAATATATAGTAAAATTAAGGATTTACACTGATTACTATAAGGCTTGAAAACACGATTTCTAAAAATTTTCACGATAGAAAAAAACACAAACTTACCTCGAAATTTTACAAGAAAACCACTGCATTCAATAGGTACTTACATATACCAATGATTTTTTTTTATATCAACTGAACAAAATAGAACACGTATACTATATGATATATGTACATTTTTGAAAAAGCTTTAATTTGGTTTGTAAAAAATAAATTTTGAAATAGCCCAGTTTATGAAATAAGCCAGTGTCCCTGCCGCTCGACCCAAGCAAAATGAACCGTATTAGTACTGGAAAAGTTTGAATTCGAGCTGAGGTAGTATCGACTCTTAACATGGCAAAAGAGTTGCCAGCCGATTGATTGTCCTAAGCACTGGTGCTTTACAATCGAAATAGAAACTTACCCTTTTAACATATGTAAAATTAATCTTAATTACGATACCCAGACCTGAGAAAGGTGGCCGGCAGCGGCTTGATTAGGGCGGCACAAGACCGGGAGAATTGGCGTGCTCAAGGGGAGGCTTATGTCCAGCAGTGGATGCGTGTAAGCTGATGATGGCGATACCCAGTGGACCACTATATCATACCTGGTCATAGTAATAGTGGAACGTGACACGGTCGGCTTCGCATAGCTCGCGTAGGCTGGCGGGTAGGTAGCGCACGCGCAGCTCCAGCCGCCACTCGCTCGCCGGCCATTGGCTTTGTAGCTCCGAAACTGGCGTGTCTTGGTGGATCCAGCGGATCTGCAATACAATAAATATCAAGATTTGGTGTTTCTGTGAATGAGTATCGTTCTTTGAAACAGTTTTAATTTTACGTGTGAAATGTAATATGATAACTCTATCTACCCATCAGCCTGAACGGCTTCCGCTAAGCCTATATGAAGTACGAGACATAATCTCAATACAGGGTACTAAAAAAGCGCCCTCAAAAGTTCGTGGAATTACATCCATTTGTCAAGTTTTATTGAAATCGGTTGCCGGAAAGTGCGCGAAACCGGATTCATCCCCAAGTTTTTTTACCACACTTAGAGGTGGAATATTTTCTTGAAATTTAAATGGGACCAATGTCGAGGTACCCTCTTTCCAACAAAAAAGAATTATCAAAATCGATACCTAAATGTCGGAGTTACCGCGTAACACACATAAAAAAATCATACAGTCTAATGAACCTCCTCCTTTATTTAAAGTTGGTTAAAATTAATTTAGTAGACTACGCCATCGACTCGCCATTGAAGAGCAGAATACCAAACCATCGCAATGTGTGACTAAACGAACTTCACCCATTGTTTATGTTGTGGTAACACTATTTTTTGTTCGGCGGCCGTTTTACCCGCGTAACCCGATTTTAATGATTCCTTTTTTGTTGAAAAGAGGGTACCTCAGTATTGGTCCCATGTAAATTTGAAGAAAATATTCCACACCTCTAAAGGTGGCAAACTAGGGGATGAATCTGGTTTCGCGCACTTTCCCATAACCGATTTCAATAAAACTAGGCAAATAGATGTAATTCCACGATTTTTTGAGGCCGTTTTTTGGCATATTATGGCACTAATAGAGACGTTAGTCACGTCAACGGCAATGGCAGCAACCGAGTGCTCTTCAGTTTAGTTAAAACTAAAGATATGACTGAGTAATTGGACTAAGAGACTGGTACGCCCCTCTATGTGATGTTTAACATTGCATCATGCATAGATACGGTGGAAAGACACATTACTAACATTATTGTAACAATACATATTGTTCCATGAGTATATATACATATTGTGCCACGTGCTTACTCGACCCGCAGTATACTAGCCTCATTGACGCTTATGATTGTGGGTGCCTATCGTTGGCATCAATCGGGTAGGACGTAGCTGGCATGTACACTTGCACCGCGATTACCAACTATCGAAGCTCAATTCTGTTGGGTCAGAGGTTGGACTAAAAGAGAGGCTGGAGGTCCACTCGGGGCACATTTCACGGTCTCACCCCGGTGAGATGTGCTGGGGGTTTTATGCGAGACACTTCTACGGTTTCCTCGTCATGGCATAATGTGTATTGTTACGAACATTGTCATCTTGTTTCAGTATCTTTCTATCCGCTTATACTTGCGCCTGATCTCAAAGATAATAGTGATATGGAAAAGGAACGTAGGGCTCTGTCGGTCAGGGTAAATATGATCGCACGCAGATTCGCAAGGTGTTCGGGTGAGGCAAAGGTGACGCTCTTCAAAGCGTACTGTACCTCCCTATAAACGTGCAATTTGTGGCGAGACTACACAAAAGGGGCTTACAGAGCCCTGGGGACTCAATGTAATAACGTCTTCCGGGTGTTGATGGGGCTGCCTCGTTTTTGTAGCGCTTCAGTGTTAGCCCCAACTCCACTCTCAAAGCGATAGGGGACAGGATTGATTCCCCATACATTAGAAACTGCTGTGGGCTTCATGCCCCAAAATATGTAATTAAGTTACCACATTATGAGTCTGGTAACTTGAATAAAAAATATTTGAAATTGAGTTATATGTTTATTATAAAGTAAGTTTTGGCGTCACTAACAAAAAATTATCTTCGATCCTGCTGGATTCGAACCAACGTCTGCTAGCAAACCGTGTCACACGCTATGCCAACTAACCTTATTTAGGAGACGTCGGTTCGAATCCAGCCGGATCGAAATGCATTGTTTCTAAGTGTTCGATCTTATATAAACAACTTAAAAATTATAATTATAACAAACTAATCGTAGTAGTGTAATTTCGAAAAAAATAATTGAATATCATAGTAGTGAAACATTTTGGACATTCAAAAACTTAAAAACATTGAACATTTTATATTGAAGCAATAAGCACTACGGCAATGAAAGGGTTAATTTAATTTTTTATTTTCTTTTTTTAATTTATTTATTCATTTTAATTAGGCAACATGACCCATAAAATATGCAGGCTGTATATTTGAAAATGAGACATAATCATACACGTCTTAGTAAATCATGTTACAACTTAACATAGACTGAAATAAAATTAGGATATGGGATAGAACAAAAAATAAATCAACAAAATGTGTTTTGAAGTGTACGTAGGAATAAACCGTTTCCCTTTACGCTTGATTTCGAGTGCAATGGGAATACTACCAAGCGAGTGCCGAGTGAGATAGCAACAATAGCAATGATTTCACATTTACGTTTTAGCTTATGTTAATTATTTTTTACTTGACCTATCATCGAAATGATTATATACGTACGTAGATATGTAATAAAAAAGGTAAGTTTATGATTTAGGAACTAGTTATCATTTAATAAGAATTAAGATTTTTGGCGTAGTTAAAAATGTGAAATCAAATTATTTACAATGATTGATTTTTTAGTTATTTACAGCTTATTTACACTTACGTGGTACGGACCAAGTGTTCAAAATGTCCACCGTTTTCCACAATCCATAGTCTAGCACGGCATAGTAAATTTTGTTTTAAATTGTACAACACAATCACATTTTGTCTCACAGTATAAAATGCTGAGATAATCCTCTCACGCAACACTTCAACACTGTTCACCTCCTCTGCGTAAACTTCGATTTGGGAACATTTCAATGGCTTGCCTCACACTATCACTACTTATTGCGTAAAGTCGCACCATCTCGGTCAATTCGACGTTAGAATAAATATCCAATTTGCGGCGATCGGGCGAGCGGAAGTACAAATAATTTACGTGTCCTCGTTAGATCAAGGTCGCGCGTGCTATTTCGCGTATGCGCTTGCGCCCCCACCCCCGACCTGTGCTTTGTTTTTCGCCGCCGTCCCCACCCGCCGCTGCGTCGGAGCAATAATAGTGATGTGCATAGATTTCGATAACTAATGTTGTTCTCAAGTAGTAGTCGATAAAAAAAAATTCTAAATATTTTTTGTAAAGTTTAAGTTCATTAGTTTATTATTCCTTTAGGTTCAGAATCAGAAATAAAATGCACTCTATGATTTGATTACGTCCCATTTTCAAATATACAGTCTGTATAACTTAAAAACTTAAATAGACAGTTAAGAAGCAACTGTTCTCTCACTGAGTTACCGTACCAAAGCTTTATATAAACCGCGGTAATAAATTGACAATATCAATTCAGTCAATGTTTGTTCAATTACCAGAACGGCCTTCGAACAGTAAGCTGCAATTGTATTCATACCGGTTATTTCAAACTAATACAGCGTACAACTACTACATCTTTAATACGTAAACAGTATTACAACACAGTAGGATGCCTTTCATATTAATTTATCCAACCGCAGGAAGTGGTAATCCCGCTCTGTCCAATAAAGGTGGCAAGCCGGCTTAACCCGGTCTTTCACTACGCAACAATTGTCACATTGCACAAAATGAGGCGCAACCACAATCTTCTTTTGTTTAGTGTCTTTTTTTTGTTGCCTAGTGAACATTCGTCTTTTTTAGCAAAAATTTATATATTTGTTGAATTGTCAGCAAAGTGTTGTTTATTTGGTATAAGTGACAAATATCTCTGACAGTAACAGGTGTAATAACGATCAAGGGTCGTGTTTAATAAATCTCGACAATTAGAAAACTATTGCACTAATAGGAAATGAATGGTACCGGTTCACTGACCAACCGTGACCATGGGATCTGTAAACGGCCTGAAACGTTGTTTGACCAAATATACGCGATTTAAATCCGGAAAAGTAGTCATTTCCTATGTGTAACAATCGCGAAAACCTAAGAACTCGATATTGTACAATACTCCGTCCAACCATTTATTTAACTTTTGTCATATTTACTTGTTACTGCTTAATTTTTATTGATATTTGCAAAGGCAGAATAACAAAGTTGAAACAGCTATCAATAATCATACGAGTAGAAGGTATTGAGCATAATTTTATTTGTTGTTTGTCGGTAACTTGTAAGTCTTTTAATGTCCTCTACTTAGCCAGTAGAATTAATATGATGTGTCACATTTTATTTCTGGGTATGAATGTTTCTACTTATTTAAATTGCAGCCCTTTTCTTACTCATAGCATACAGTCATATCTAATTTTATATGCTATAATTACTTTTCCACCTTAATGGCTAATAATAAAAAACTTTTAACTGATGGTCCCCAGGTTCTCTTAGTAAAAATCACAATGACCTTATTTTTGCAAGGAATATCACTCACTGGATATGTTAGCCATTAATGAAACGTGGTTGCGACCAAATGAGGAAGGTAGAGCCCCGGCTCTGCTTGGTTATAGGTTGATTAGCATACCAAGACTATTAAACATTCGCAATGGGCGTGGTGGTGGCGTGGCTTTCTTTGTCAGAAAAAATATTAGAGCTAGGGTTTGGCAGCATCCTCAATGCTCATCAGTTGAACAGGTCTGGTTGAAAGTTAACATTAATGGTAGCAAGATTTTTTTGGACACAGTTTATCGACCTCGTTGGTTAAGTGTTGATATTTTCTAGAATGCTTTGTCTGATTCTGTCAGTTCTTTGGGACTGTGTGACGGTTTAATATTGCTTGGCGATTTTAATATTGACTTGTTGGTACCAGATAGTATAAATTCCGTAAAAATTTTTGGTTTCATTAGTATTCATAATTTGAAGCAAGTTGTTGCATCTCCAACTCATTTTACTGACCATTGCGAGACTCTCTTAGACGTTGTGTGTACGGATGTTCTCCCGCGAAGTGTTAAAACTGACATGGTTGTATGGTTGTTGGTTGTGTAAACTAGCAAATCGTGGCATGATTATCTGCGAATATAGTTTCAAGGTGCCGACAATTCCTCCAAAATTAATTAGTTATAGGCCTTTAAAGATCAATATTATAATATTAGGGGTTAAAGTATGAAATTGCCGTTTTATTGCAATAGGTTCTTTGAATTTTCATAGAATCTTGATGGTTTGAGGTTTTCGAATGAAACTTTTTTCAAATGGTTTCTGTGATTTTTTTTTTTTAAATTTGAAACATTTTAATATCGACTTTCAATTGTTTTTGTTATTCAATTTAGACAAGAAAGATGGATACTGCGAAAATTCGAGTGATTTTTGAATACGAGTTCCGACGCGGAACTAACGCGGCAGAAGCAGCCCGCAATATCAATGCTGCGTTTGGAGAGGGGTCTACTAATGAACGCACCGTGCGATTTTGGTTTAAACGCTTTCGTGATGGAAATTTCGACTTAAAGAACGAGTCACGAGGAAGACCGCCCACACAGGTGAATAACGATGAATTAAGAGAGATAGTGGAAGCCGATCCTAGTCAAACTACCCAGGAATTAGCGGCATGGTTTAACGTTACCTTACCCACAATATTGACTCACTTGCGTCAAATCAATAAAATAAAAAAATACGAAAAATGGGTGCCTCATGATTTGACTGATCTGCAGAAAGAAACGCGTGTTGAAACTTGTGTTGCCTTGTTGAACCGGTACAGAAATGAAGGAATATTGGATCGAATTGTAACATGTGATGAAAAGTGGATTCTTTATGATAACCGGGAAAGAAAAATGCAATGGCTGACCCCAGGTCAAATGCCACAACAGTGTCCTAAAGCAAAACTTACCGGTAAAAAGGTAATGGTAACTGTTTGGTGGTCTCAGCATGGTGTTATTCACTATAGTTTTCTCCGATCTGGTCAAGCAATAACGGCAGATGTCTATTGTGCCGAACTCCGAACCATGTTGACAAAACTAGCAGTAAAACAGCCCCGACTCATGAATCGATTTTCACCATTATTGCTCCACGACAACGCGAGACCTCACACAGCACGAGAAACCATTTTGACCCTTCAGGAACTGCAGTTAGAAACCATTCGTCATCCTCCGTATTCACCAGACCTTGCTCCAACGGACTACCATTTTTTTTCGTGATTTGGACAATTATCTACGTGACAAGAAGTTTTCTTCCCAGGAGGCAGTACAAAATGCTTTCACACAGTTTGTGCAGTCTAGATCGTCGGAGTTCTATCGCAAAGGCATTAATAACCTTTCCATTAGATGGCAGCAATGTATAGATAATAATGGCAACTATTTTGATTAAATAAATTTGTTAAAAATTTAAAAAATAAACAATTTAGATTTTCAGTACAAATCGGCAATTTCATACTTTAACCCCTATTATTAATCTCAGTAAATTTAATTATGACCTTAAACTTTTACCATGGTTTAGAGTATCCGACTGTTACAATATTGATGAAATGGTATCTTTGTTCAATACACTACTTCTCAATTTGTATGATGTTCATGCTCCAATTAAGACAATACGAATTAAAAAACAGTCATATCCCTGGGTCACTAACACCATAAAACATATGATGAATCTGAGAAATGAAGCCCATATGCGTTACATAGGAACTAAAAATGAGTCCCATAGAGAATATTACAGGCAATTGAAAAATTCAGTTAATTCTTTATTCTATGAAAAACGTGCTTATTTTAATCATAATGTTAATAATCAAACAAAACTTAAAATCACGTATTCTCACTCCAAAATCAGATATGGTAGGGATACCCACCTCTCTTCTGCTGAAGATATAAATAAATATTTCGTAGACCTGACTGGTTCTAATAAGTTAATTTGACTGATTTTATTTATTATGAGTTGCGTAGATTTGGTTCTTTTATATTTAATATAAATTGTGTATTGAATGAATGTATATTGAAAATACTTGGCTCTTTGAAATCTAATGCTCAAGGTTTTGATGGAATTAGTTAAGATATGCTTATGTTCCTAATACGCTTGCTGCAATTACATCTATAGTGAACTGGTCTATTATCACATGCACTTTCCCCAAACAAGGGAAAACATCCATAGTATAGCCCCTTCCAAAGACCTCAAATCCTTCCACATTTAAAGATCTCAGGCCGATTAGTATCCTCCCTTGTTTGGCAAAGGTCTTGGAAAAAGTAGTTTACCAGCAGCTTATTGTTTATTTAAAGGATAATAATATTCTCCCTCAAATACAGTCTGGATTCAGAACGAGTAGGAGCAGGCTACTACTTTGTTCGAGGTTACAAGTAATTTTCTTGAAGCGCAAGATTTAGGGTTGTACACTGTTTCAGTACTATTGGATTTTTCTCGTGCTTTTGACATTTTAAATTTACCTCTTTTAGTTTCTAAATTGCTATATCATGGATTTGAATCTGCAGTTAAATAGTTCCACAGTTATTTACACGACCGACAACAAATAGTAAAATTGTGCAATTCCAATGGCTCTGTAGCATTTTCTTCTGCGTTACACGTGGTGTACCGCAAGGATCCATCCTTGGACCTCTATGGTAGTCTCTATAGTGCTGACATCATAAATTGTGTTAAACATTGTAAAATACATCTATATGCTGATGATGTTCAGCTTTAACTTTCCTATAGACATGAAGATATTGAATCGGTTGTAAGGAAAATTAATGAAGATTTAGGTAATATCTACAACTGGTCGTCCAGAAATTGCTTAAAGTCAAACCCGGACAAATCTAAATTTATGATACTAGGTTCTAGGCAGCAGGTTGCTAAATCTTTCTAGGTTTCTTATTCTCTAGCCATTATATTGAATGTCAAGGTTATTGAAACCTCGGCGATAGTAAGAAATTTAGGGGTGCTAATGGATTCCGAATTAAGATTTGAGAAGCACATTCAGGAGATAGTAAGTAACTGCTTCTATCGCTTGAAAGTACTTTACATGGTACGCAGGTTTCTAAGCATTGAACTCCGCATTAATCTTGTAGAGTTTCTGGTACTTTCCAAATTCAATTATGCACACACCGTATATGGTCCACGACTCCTAGCTAAAACTAAAAACCTAGTGCAACGCGTACAGAATGCCAGTACCAGATTTTGTTTTGATGTTCCTAGTAGAGGTCATGTTACACCATTCATCAATCATGCGAAATTGTTGAATATGTCATCTAGGAGATCGGTTCATTTTGCATCTTTACTCTTCAGTATAGTGAAAATATGCAAGTCTTTTTATCTGTACAATAAACTTACCTGGTCCTCTCGAACACAAAAGTTGTGTCCTCTTTCGCGTGGTGTTATTCTCAAAGTACCTCCGCATAAAACAACTACCTTTAACGGTAGTTTCAAATATGTGGCCGCTAAAATATGGAATAATATTCCCCCTCCCCTGCGCAACCTGTCATTTTATATTATAACCTGTCATGTTCCTAACTAGTGCAGTATCGGTGGGTAACCGATGGATGCACCTCGCGTCCGATCGGCTGGTCTGGAAATCTTTAGGAGACGCCTATGTTCAGCAGTGGACCTCTTCCGGCTGATATGATGATGATGAAGTGCTGTATTTCATATATACTTCATATACATTCAATTCATGTGGGTGTTCATTCAATCGCGACGTGCTCTTTAGCTCAGATATTTATCGAGCCAACAGATTGTGTAACGAAGATTATTCAAATTGTTAAATTTTGGTACCGGTCTAATAAATTATAACGAAATGAAATAAATAATAAATAATTATAATAAATTCTCACTGTTTATTATAATGAATGGTCGGATTCCTCTCCATATGAACTGGAATCATCACTTGAATCTTCATTAACATTAATTATTAATTTTTGAGTATCTTCTTTATGGAACCCGCTCACATTCATGATTATAACTTTTTCATAAATAAAATCGATTATTATAAAAAATCGAATCGGAAACGCATTAGGACACCACTAAATGGATTAGAATTCGAGCTGTCAAAAGTTAAATAAATGGTTAGGCGGAGTTTAATAGATGTAATAATGATCGAAGGTCGTGTTTAATAAATCTCGACAATTACAAAACTATTGTACTAATAGGAAATGAAACTATTTTCCGCATTTATTAACTTGCTTTTAACACGAAATTATGCCCTGAACGAGTGGCAAAACGCGTAGACCCTTTCACGCATAAACATTATGTGTGAATTATTTTGCAATGAAAGAAAATTATATTCATTTAATAGTAACTCACCTTGCCCGTTGTAAGCCGCCGTGCTCTTAACGCGTAGCATGAGGCGTAGACGCGTTCGCTCGTAGCTAACCGCGTGGCGAGACATCGTAGCACGGCACGCACGTCTTCGTCGGGTGAGGCCCTCACTACGTTGAAGCCCCCATTTGGAAGGTGGATTTTCAACGTCGATTGGTCACCGGCTGCTGCTGTAAAAGATAAAGAACATACATATAATAGTGTAGACGAAGGTTTTTGTTATACTGTTGATTTAGTATCGTTCCCACTTACGAATAACTCTAGTTTTAAGTGTTCTGAGGATATTTCGCTTATGAAACCAAATTACTGTCGTAACTCAGACATGATAGAATTGAGAAAGCACGATGTCAAAATGTAATAAATTCCTGAATGAATTTTATTCCGAATAATGGGATTATTTTTATTTACTTAATATCCACTCACAAAGGAGAATATTAAATTTGTTCCATTCAGAAAATGTTTGATCTTTCAATCCCCTTTTCTCAATACCATTATTTTTGAGTTATACTAAAAAAGTTTGTATAAAAAATACCTTGCCAGTGGCAGAAACGCTAACCGCAAAAGAACAAACAAAAATTAACTGACAATATATTATCAATAATCTCATTGCATATTATACTTCGATAATAAGACGATGCAAGAGAAAGAAAATCGAAATTCAAATAAACAAGATGGCCACCGACATGACATGACAAGATCGCATGGATTAAAAAAATGGTGAAGTTTTTTTTTAATATCAAGTGGCGGGACGAACACTTGTTCGTCGTCGTCGAACACTTGTTATAAATTCAAGTGACGGGACAAATAAGTGGTGCGCCTGATGGTAAGGTACACGCCTGTCCGTAACAGTCGCAGAGCCACTCAGAGCTTTAAATCGCAAAGAACTGAGGGGCACTGCCACTGCGCCCGTCACCCTGAGACATAAGTTGACAAGTCCCATGTGTCTGTAATTTCACTCGTACCCTTACCCTTTAAAAACCGGAACACAGTAATGCTGACATAACTGCTTAGCGGCAAAAATAGGTGGCAGTACTATCCTGGACGAACTCTTTCACAAGGAGCTCTACTGCTACTAAAAACTTTTGACATACATTCATTAGCCAAACCACAAACACATTTTAGCCGCCATTATCTCAAAACTATGATCATGTTGGTTAACACGTTATTGCTTATCAGCATGCAATGTAGTTATAATGCTGTTTCTGTTTTGCATTTGTGATGCCAAACAAACGTGTTATAAAGAAGTGGTGTCTGTATTTACCGTGTGCATGGGCCGCGTTGTGCGGCTGTCGTTTGGGCGACCCCGCCGGCGCAGGCTGCATCGCGCGCGCTAGCGGTTCCCCACACCGCCCCCCGCCTTCCGGTTCATGGCTGCAACAAAATGTACTTTTTACCATAAAGAAAATAATGATATTGGAAATAATTTTTAAACTACAGTAGTTTATGTGACTGTTACATAATGAAAGGCATTAAAATACAAGTGTAGGTTTATGAAACGAGCCGATAGGCGAGATTCATAAAAATATCACACGAGTGTTTTAAAGCCTAATTATGTATAGTTAATTAGTTACATACACTGCTTGATCTATACACATATTTTAAGCTCTTTAAGATGTGTTCAGGATCCGCATGCTACGATTGGCGAAATGGCGGCAAATAAAAAGTTTTCTCTCGCATGTGTTTTTATTTAATTCATAGACAAACTAGAGTCGACCCCAACTACCATATCGTTCGACATCAAGTTTTAATTAACTGCCTCAGTGGCCGAACGGTTACCACGGTCGGACTGCCACCCAGAGGTCCCAGGTTCGATTCCCGGGTCGGGAGAAATGTTTGTATGGCCTACATTTATTTCTCTCGTGAGTTTGGGTGTAATTTGTGGTTGTCTATGTGTGTGTCCATGGCACTCGCGACACAGGGTTTCCCTAGTGCGGGGCCATATTGAGTGTGTGCGTTATTATTATTAATATTATTATTATAACAAGTAACGTGTGAAATTTGTCAAAATGGTTTGCCATTGATATTTCATTTCGAATAAAACTTCATTTCGACTGATATTAGAATTGAGGTCGAATGAAATTGTTTTGTTTTTCAGAGATATTCGAAATTTGAATGTCATAATAAAATCGAATTTGATGTTACTAGGATGGAAAAAAAATAAAAGAAATAAGTGCTCTACGAATGCTCAGCGAATTTTGTTTATTATATTTACTTTATTTATTTAAGACAAGCAACAAGTCATACATTTAATACATGCAATTTTCTGATTATGCAATAAAGAGCTGACTCAATTAAAGGTTGCCACAACATGCAACTATCGAAGATAACTAATTATTTATATACATATACGAGTATAAAGTTAGTGACACTTTTATTACATAACATGTAGTACAATATATAACATACATATAGAAAAATATGATTGAATTTGATTTGAATTGAATTAAATTGGTTTTGTTTTGGGTTTTACGATTGGCGTTCCTATCCTATAGGGTCCTGGCAGAATACCAGCGTCGCGGACAGCCGCGTCATTTATGCTGAGTCAGCGCCTTTTCACTGCCATGTTCCAAGGGAGATATTAGTAGAATATATATATTACTGTGTTACGTCTAAGTTAATGTCTGTATCATGTGTTCGCGTATGTATTTGTCAGGGTCGTGAATCAAGATTTTATCTATCTAAACTTACAAATGGGAAGAAAAGTGAGATGTTAACGGCACGTGTGTTAAATAATGACTTGTACAACTACTACTTGTAATTATATTGCATTACGAAGACAAATGATGTTACCACAGTTACAGCTCACGTAAAAACAGTCCCGTAGAGCTGTTTGGTAACAAGTTAACGATGCATGATGCTGATGATTATTAGACTTCTAGCATGAGACTAAGTTGCTAAGAGTGTGTGCGCGAAAAAAAAAAATCATATCGAGTTCCACATTTTCGCGATTATCACTTACATACAATATTTTTTCCGAATTTAAAATCGCGAATATTTGTTTTTTTTTTCTAACATATGGTTGTCTAACCTGGTCGCTGACAAGAGAGAGCACAGAAAATCTAGAGATATGCCAACATAGCATGGAAAAAATATAATGAACACGAGAAGTATGTAAGACAGAAATAGCGTCAGATCAATGCGACTTAGAACAATGGTACAGGATGTCTAGATCTACTTAAGGAAGTTGAAGTGGTTTTAAGCTGGACATATCTTGAGGGAGACTGGAAAATGCACCAGAAACATAACAAAGTGGTACCCAAGAGAAGGCAAATGCAGACAGGGAAGGCAAAGGAAAAGATGGGAAGATGATTTACAATTGGTAGCAGGCCATTTCTGGCAACGACAGACACAGGACTAGGAGAACTGGAAGTCTCTGGAGGAGGCCTATGTCGAAAGGCAAGCTGATGAAGTGGAGTAATTTAATTATAGAAAAATGTTGCACGCAGGATCACAATGAATTATTAATCTTGAAACTATTTCAGTATTTAGGAAATGAAACTATTTTTCCGGATTTAAATCGCGTATATTTGTTTTTTCAAACAAACCGACGTTTCGG